CTTAAAATATTTATCTGTTTTTATGAAGAGCTGACTCATTTGAAAAGACCCTGATGCTGGGAAAGATTGAGGGCAGGAGGAGAAGGGGACAACAGAGGATGAGATGGTTGGATGGCATCACTGACTCAATGGACATGGGTTTGGGTAGACTCCGGCAGTTGGTGATGGACAGGGAGGCCTGGTGTGCTGTGGTTCTTGGGATCACAAAGAGTCGGATACGACTGAGCGACTGAACTGAACTGAGCTGATGAAGTGTAATGACATATATTACTTTCAGGTGTACAACATAATGATATTTGTATATATTATGAAATGATCGCCCTAAGTTCTAATACTGAACTGCCAGGAAATTTCCTGATTCTTTTTGCAGAACAGTTTGAAAGAAAGTAGCAGACAAGACACAATATTTCTTTTTTAAAAATTTTTTCATTTATTTTTATTAGTTAGAGGCTAATTACTTTACAGTATTGTAGTGGTTTTTGCCATACATTGACATGAATCAGCCATGGATTTACATGTGTATCACGTCAGGAAGCACATAATGTCCTTTTGTCCCATTATCAGGCAAGTTTGAGAAGTTTGGTCATTTGGCCTGCCAGATCCTTTCATTATAGAAGTAACTTTTCTCTCTTGTGATTAATAAATAATGTGGTGGGGGCTGATACCCAGACTGTGTGTCTCCCCTCTTCCCCAGCCATCTTTCACCCAGTGGTTTAAGCAGCCATTGAGAGTCCTTGCCTGTGTCAGTTCTGCATAGGGGTTACAACATGATGATTTAAAAAATTATATCATTCCTTCTGTCTTAGAACTTTTCCTTCCCATCTCCCTTTCTTTTGTGTGTTATATTGAACTTTCACATTCTTTTCTTTCAGTGTTATCATCCCTAACTGATATTATTCATATTTTTCCTCCAGCTTTTTATCTTGAAAGCTTTAAAGTTGAAAGAATAAAACAAGGGACACTCGTGTAACTTCCCTGAGATTCACCAATTGTTAACATTTGCTGCATTGCTTTGATTCTGTCTATATCTATTCATTATTCCTTATTTTTTGAACTATTTGAAGATTCAGATATCACAACACTTTATCCCTAAGCACTGAAGCACATATTTCCTAAGAAAAAGGACATTTTCCTACATAACCTCAAGAACACTACCACACCCAGGAAATGTAATATAGACCCAAATAATACTATCTAGAGCCTCTATTCAAGTTTCCTGATATCCCATTGTTTCCACCTTGAACCAGAATCCAATCAAGGTTTACGCTCAGTTTTTGTTGCCATATAGCTTTAGACTCCGTTAGGTTAGAGAATCCCTTATTTTTTTTTTTTTTTTTTTTGTCTTTTAGGATGTTGGCATTAAAAAAATTAATTAATTTATTTATGGCTGTGCTGGTCTTCTTTGCTGCCTGCAGACCTTCTCTAGTTGAGAGGCGTGGAGGCTGCTTTTTGCTGTAGTTTCTCTTTGTGGCGTCTTCTCCTGTTGTGGTGCGCAGGCCCTGCGTACACAGGTTTCAGGAGTTGTGGTGCATGGGCTTAGGTACCCTGAAGCACGTGGGACCTTCCAGACCAGGGGTCGAACCCATGTCCCATGCATTGGCAAATGGATTCTTAACCATGGGACCACCAGGGAGGTCCCGGATGTTGGCATTTTTTTTTAATGTCCTGGCCAGTTTAGTTTATAGAATGCTCCACAACTTGGATTTGACTGATTGTTTCTTTTGACTAGATTCAAGCTAAATATCTGGGGGCAGGAATACTGCATAGGTGATGCTGTGCCCCTCCTGGTATATCACTGTCCCATTATTGGTGAGTTTGAGTTTGACCACCTGGTTAAGATGGCGTCTGCCAACTTTTTTCACAGTAAAAGTGCCTGTTCTCCTTTGTAATTACTAAGTCATCTTCGAGACGCTGTGACTGTCTTCTTCCCCAACAATCTTTCACCTAGTGAAAGACTTAGCAGCCATTGCAGATCCTTGTGTGAATCAGCTATGACATTCATGGTTGCAAAATTAGAAGATTTTCTAATTCTGTTACTCCTACATTTATAGCTAGCATTCTTCTGCAAAGAAGAGCTTTCTTTCTTACTTCCTCCCTCATTTAAAAAATGAGTGTCACTTTGGATTATTTTTTAAACTCAACATATTATATTACTGTCATTATTTTTGATGCTCTGAATTCTCCCAAATTTGGCTGATTGGTAGGTAGCTCCTTCAAATTGGTGTCCTTTTGACATGTTCTAATTAGCTGAATTCCTGCTTATTTCTGGCACCACAAGATGTTCTAGGCTGATGTTGTATTTCTTTGTCTTGGCTTGTGACCAACCACATATTTTTAAAGACATGAGTTCATATTGATGCCTCCAATTCAAATCCAGCATCACAGGACTCTTTCTTATCTTCCCATATTCCATATTCTGTCTCCGTATCTAACATTGAGAACCCAGGTTCCAACAACACAAACACATTCTCTCATATGTTCTCTGCTACGGTACATACGAAAAGTTTCAGTCACCACACTAATACCAACAGTAAACCTGCTAAGATTTTAGATTTCTTTCTAGTTGTTTTTGCTCTTGAGATAGATCCTTTTAAGAGAACACAGAGTACTGAGATCAAGCCACTTTGCCAGTTCTTTTTCCTGTGTGATTGTGTTATCAATTTGCTGTACAGATAGCTTAATTTGCTTTTGTTTATTTCAATTTTAGTGGTTCTCTCCAATATATATATATATATGTTTTGTGGCTGTGTCGCCCAGAATGCAGGATCTTAGTTCCCTGTCCTGGGTTCCAGCTGAACCTGGGACCCCAGCAGTGGGAGCTCAGAGTCTTAACTACTGGGCCACCAGGAAAGTCCCTGTGTTTATTTTTAAAATAAGAAATATATAGTACTTCTATATATGTAAGTATATATAAATATATAGTACTTATATATAAAATAAGAAATATATAGTACTTATTGCAGCCCCTTGCGAGCTGTTTTAATTTCAGTGCCATAGGTTTTTAATTTCCAAAATGGAACAGCTATAGTGTGTGCCTCATGGTGNGCTCTGCTGTCCATGGAATTTTCCTGGCAAGAATACTGGAATGGGCTGCCATTTCCTCCTCCATGGAGAAATAGTCAGTACAATTTATTTAACCAGTCTGCTGTTGATAGACATGTCAATTGTTTCCAATCTTTTGGTATTACAATGTTACAATTAATGCAGCTATGTAAAAGAACCATTTCATGCTTGTCTTTGTCATGCCTGTCTTTTCTATTTGTGGTAGATGCTGTTAGGTTTTTACATCTGTATTTGATTTCATATCACAAAGAGACCACAAAAGATTATGATGGCCTAAACTTCAGTAGAGCCAGAGGAATTTGACTGGAACTCTGGGAAGGTTTGTTTTTCTTTTAAAGCAAACTCTTAATTGAAGTATAACAGGTAGAAAAGTGCACAAATTGTAATCGTATGCTTGAGGAATTTTCACAAAATCAACCCCTCGTATCAGCAACGCCCAGGTCCAGGAACCGACCATGACCAGCACTCTGATGCTTGTGTTCCCTTTACTCTCCTGACTTCTAACACCATAGATTCGTTTTGCCTGATTTAAACTTTATAGAAATTTCTGCCCACTTTTTTTTTCTTTTTACTATTTTTATTTATCTATTTATTTGGCTGCGTTGAGTCCTAGTTGCAGCACTTGGGATCTTCAGTCTTCCTTGCAGCCTGTGGCATCTTTTAGAGAGAACTCTTAGTTGCGGCATGTGAGATCTAGTTCCCTGGCCAGGGATTGAACCCAGGTACCCTGCGTTGGGAGCATGGAGTCATAGCCACTGGGACCACCAGGGAAGTCCCTCTGCCCAAATTTTGCTGTTGCATTGCCTTAGTGTTTGGCCATAGACCATTTTCTGCTTTTCAGTGTATCTGTATTTATCTTTCAAAGTTACTGTTCTGGTAAAATGCTCTCATTTGCTTCCTTAACCTTCACTCACCAACCATTACCTGATGTCTGTCTCAGCACAGGCCTCCTGCTAAGCTCTTGACCCAGATATTCCCAAAGCCTACAAGGCTTTGTCCTGTCTGGAGATTCTCACAGCACCTCAGACTCCGTATGTTCACGATGAAGCTTCTCTTCTTCTCTGGAGCCCTGCGCCTCTTCTCATGATGGGGTTCTCAGTAAACAGCCCACCAGTTGCTCAGTGGTTTAAGCTGGCAGAGAGTCTTCATGAGGGCCTCCCTCCCCAGAGCCACCTTGGAGCCCCTTCTAATTGGCCTCCTAAGTGCCTCAAGAATCCCACTCTGCCCACCTCCATTCCTGCTCCCTCTCCACGCGCTCTCTGCTTTGGCCGCAGTGGCTTTCTTTCCCTTATTCGGAAGCGTGAAGCTGTTTCCCACCTCAGGATCTGTGCAAGCTTTCCCCCCTGCGCAAGAGGCCGCCCTGCCTTAGGCAACTTCTCTGTGCTCTTCAGGTCTCCCCTTACGGTTTTCTTGACTCCCCAGACCAGGTCACCTAATATATGTTGTGCATGTTTTCATAGCCATCCTTCTCTTTTATACTGTTCACGGCCAAGGTTATTGATTGTTTCATGCCAATGGCAAGGCCCACTTCTTCATGCTCTCTCCCCAGTGCCTGGCAGATTATAAATGCTCAAGAAGTGAATGAATGACTGGAGACAAAGGCAGGGGGTGGGGAGCCCAGCCTGTGACTGAGGCCAGAGCTCTGCTGTGTTCGAGGTCAAGAATAGAATTTCCTCAAGCTTTCTCTGTCACTTGACTTGCACCTGCTTGAGGTGGCCTCCCAGGTTCCTTTCCCACCCTCCCCTGGGATTTTCTGGAAATAGATTTTACGCCTGGAGGTCAAGGGCAGGAGTCCCTGGAAGGGTAGAGCTGCTGGAATGGTGGTTCTATGAGATGGGTCCTGCCCCAGGGAATTTCCAGCCCAGCTGGGGCTGAAAGAAGTACTTGGCTGGGTGAGCCATGATCCTCAACCTTCACTGACTCTTCTTTCCTTCCAGTTTGAGACAAAGAGGTGTGGACAGGCCGCTGGGCCAGCGGGTGCCATCATGTCAGGTAAGGGGATGGTGGATCCATGTGGGTAGGATGTGACAGTGATGTAGGGTGGGTGGCCCTTTTTCTGGTCTGTTTATACCCCTTAGTTTTTGAAGATCAGATTCTTTCAGTCCTCTTGCCCCTGGGTTTCCCCTGGTCCCCCGCCAAGACTTGTCTATTAAAGACCCTCACTGTCTAGCTGTCTGTCAGACCTCTGAACCTGGGGACCAGGGATAGCTCATCCTGACGCCCTGGCCCTCCTGTCCATCTGACTGATGAGTGGCATGGCTAGCTCAGTCCGCATCCTTTCTGTCACCATTACTCTCTAATACTCTTGAGACCTTTTCCTTCTGGTTTCCGGGTTGTCTGGTTTCCAAAGGCTCAGAACTGGAGAGACCTGTAGGGACTATCTAGTTTGACCCCCATCCCACTGGATAAATGGAGGTCTGGAGAGAAGGGTGATGACTAAATCTTGGAGTGAAGGCTGGAACCCACATCTCCAGACTCACCATCCTGCTGCTTCTGCCCAGAACTACCTCTGACCCAGTGTCCACGCCTGATGGACGGTGTTTACTGTTTTTATTCTTCTGACAGTGATGCTGCCTCAGGGCCACTTTGGAGACCCAAGGCAGCAGGAAAGCTGGTGGGGATGGTAAAGTGGCCTGTGGCCACAGCGGCCAAGAGGGCAGCCCAGGCCAGGGAAAGAGTGATCATATCAGGTCATCGGGGAGGGGAATATTCAGGGTGAAACTGTGTAATGTGCCTTGCCTGCAGAGAAGGTGAACAACTTCCCACCACTGCCCAAATTCATCCCGCTTAAGCCATGTTTCTACCAAGACTTCGAGGCTGATATCCCTCCTCAGCATCTCAGCATGACCAAGCGCCTCTACTACCTCTGGATGCGTGAGTGCTGTGGGGTGGGGGTGTTCCAGAACTGGGGAGCGGGGGAGGGGGGTGCCAGCGGGTGCTGGGCATTGGGACGGGGTGCCCCCAGGCCTGGGTCCTTTAGCCTCACCTGCAGCATCTGTGTGGGCCAGTAAGCCTATCCCTGCCTGACTCCTGCAGGCTCCTCTCCTGGGCTGACTCCCCAGCTAGGCCTCAGTTTCCCTCACCTCCTGTCTAGGCCTCTCCTCATGCCCCAGTCACAGAGCAGCTGGGTGTGTGTGAGCAGTCTCTGCCTGTAGTGCAATTCCTCATTTATCTTCTCATGGGAGTGGTTTTCCAGGGAACCTCCGGTGATTACCTCAGGAGTCTGGATTTTGAGAGGAATCCTCCCCTCAAAGCCTCGTTTTTCTAACTACCTCTGACCCAGTGTCCACGCCTGATGGACGGTGTTTACTGTTTTTATTCTTCTGACAGTGATGCTGCCTCAGGGCCACTTTGGAGACCCAAGGCAGCAGGAAAGCTGGTGGGGATGGTAAAGTGGCCTGTGGCCACAGCGGCCAAGAGGGCAGCCCAGGCCAGGGAAAGAGTGATCATATCAGGTCATCGGGGAGGGGAATATTCAGGGTGAAACTGTGTAATGTGCCTTGCCTGCAGAGAAGGTGAACAACTTCCCACCACTGCCCAAATTCATCCCGCTTAAGCCATGTTTCTACCAAGACTTCGAGGCTGATATCCCTCCTCAGCATCTCAGCATGACCAAGCGCCTCTACTACCTCTGGATGCGTGAGTGCTGTGGGGTGGGGGTGTTCCAGAACTGGGGAGCGGGGGAGGGGGGTGCCAGCGGGTGCTGGGCATTGGGACGGGGTGCCCCCAGGCCTGGGTCCTTTAGCCTCACCTGCAGCATCTGTGTGGGCCAGTAAGCCTATCCCTGCCTGACTCCTGCAGGCTCCTCTCCTGGGCTGACTCCCCAGCTAGGCCTCAGTTTCCCTCACCTCCTGTCTAGGCCTCTCCTCATGCCCCAGTCACAGAGCAGCTGGGTGTGTGTGAGCAGTCTCTGCCTGTAGTGCAATTCCTCATTTATCTTCTCATGGGAGTGGTTTTCCAGGGAACCTCCGGTGATTACCTCAGGAGTCTGGATTTGGAGAGGAATCCTCCCCTCAAAGCCTCGTTTTTCTTACTTTCTCTGGAAGACTACTCCAAAAGAATGTTCAGTTGGAATATAGTGGCCAAGCTGGGCTGGTCACTCCACTTCCCAAGGAGCAGCTTCCTCATTTGTAGGAAAGAGGGTACTGGCTCAGTGATCGCCTTGCTTCTATGTAGATCTGTGTTAAGAGCTCGAGTTCTCATGTTCTAAGATTTTGAGGTTGAGAGTTTAAAGGCCCCAGTTTCTGATGGCCTTATTACGTTAGAATAATTATGACAAGGGTACTAGATCAAATGAGCTGGAGAGAGATGGGACTGTGAAGAGAGATGTAAACTGATAGAAAAACAGGGTAAAAAAAAAAAACCTAAAATTGAAAACAAAACAAGACAAAAACAGGTTGATGGGTGTTCTATGTAAAGAGCAAATAAAATCAGTGAGAACACCATGATTCCAGGAAATCTGGTGGTAATAAATAGGGATGAGGGAAATAGAGCGGAAACTCACAGAAAGAAATGCTTACCCTCATTGTGAGGGGCTCTGAGAGGGGTGTACCTCTCATGTGACAGCGTTGTCAGGCCAGACTTGGGGAGCGGTGGCCCTGGGCTCTGGGAACTCTGCCCCTGAGAAGATCTCATCCAGGAGCTGGATTTAAGGGCTATAAATATCTTCCTAAGTCTTTACTAGGTGCTGGCCAGATGCTTTGTTCCCAAGGAAATGTATATAACCCTTGAAATGCTTAAAGAGTTCTATTCAAAAGCCAAGACCATAGATGCCTGGCTGTTTGAGGCCAAGATTAAGCCTGCCTTCCTTTGTTTATTCAGCAAGTCTTTTTTTTTCAATTTATTTTACTTTTGGCTGTGCTGGATCTTCGCTGTGGCATGAGGGGTCTGTGGCATGCAGGGGCTTTTTTCCCCCGTTGGGGTGTAAGGGCTTCTGTTGTGGAGCACGGGCTCCAGAGTGCACGGGCTCAGTAGTTACCCTGTGGCACGTGGGATCTTAGTTCCCTGGCCAGGAATTGAACCTCCGTCCCTTGCATTGGAAGGTGGAATCTTAACCACTGGACCACCAGGGGAGTCCTTGTTCAGCAAGTCTTTGTGGAGCCTTAAAGGGACTTGGGCTAATAATAGAGGAAGGGAGCAAGTACCCTTATGTCCAACGAACTGGGTGTGTGTTAGTGCCAGCATCAGATGAGGAGACTTGAGGTCCCTGCTGGCTGTAACTCAGGGATACAGTGATTCAGAGCTTCAGTTATACAGTAGGTCGGCATGGAAGAGAAGGTGCCTGAGTCTCTCTCTTGGGGAACCTCTAGTTTGGTTGATGGGCTGGGATTTGTCCTTTGGGAAACATGAGAGCACCCAAGTTGTTAGGAGATCAGAGGGATGGGAGGTGAATAAGACTGTAATAATGAAAGAAGGCTTCTTGGAGGAGGTGGCATAATAGGATTAAAGACAGACTGAGATCCCAGTCACTGCTGCCTGCCCTGTATAAGTGTGGGGCAGATGGTACAATGACGTAAAGAGACATTTCCTTTTCCTTTCCCCTTTTCATGCCCTACCTTGCAAGAGAAGATGGAAGATGGGTTTCCTGTGCCATGGGCTTGGTGATTGCTGTGGGTTTGGGAAGGCCAGGGGCTGAGGCCATACTTATAAGAAGAGCATTTCTCCCAGGCTGAGGCTTTGGGGCTCTTCAACAGGACTCGCTAGGCTGAGACTCTGAGTTCCTGATCGGGGGAGAGTCTTTGTTCTCTGGAGTTCTCAGATCCCCAGGAATGGGTGTGTGTTTTGGGGGGTTGGTCTGAGCTTCCAGTTATCTTTCTTACAGTCTATACCCACTCTGTGTGTATGTTATATGTGCATCTTATGTATCTCTGTGTGTGTGTTGGCTGATGTGACTTGTGGGTATGCATCTGTATAAATGTGGTTTGCATGTGTGTTTGTGTTTGTCTATATCCTTCTGTGCTTCTGCTGTTTGCCTGTGTTTGATTGTGGGTCTGTGNCTTCCTTCTTCACTCTACCCTTGGGTGGGACAACATAGAGACCAGACTGTTCTTGTTTTCCCTTCCCCAGGCAACTAGCTGCATGATAAATTTTGCCAGTGGGGCTACCTGTCTTGGTTTAGCTGCCCATCCTGGTATCCATGGGGCTGGTTAATTTGTTGCCAAGTAGACCATCTACCCACATGCCAATGGGACAAGCCATCCATATGCCACTGACACTATTTACGTGCTAATGAGGGCATCCAACTCTGTGCCAAAGGGACTACCCATCCATGTGTCAGTAGGGCTAGCTCTCTTAGTGCCAGTGGGTGTCTGCCTTGTGGCAAGTGGGATTTTCAATCTTTGTACCAATGGATTATCCCTCTCAGTGCCAATCGGGCCTCTAGTATTAATCTTTGCCAATTGGATCCATCCATTTGTGTGCCAATTAGGTTATAATCTTGGTGCCAGTCATGTGTCCATTATTGTGCCAACAGCACTTTCTACCTTGTGGGGCCCTCCACTCTTGTACCACTGGAGCTTGATGTCTTGGGGCCAGTAGGGTTGTCCAACCCTTTGACATGGGTTTGTTTATTCCTGCCACAACAGACCCATCTATTTCTGTGCCAACCATCCATGTACCAGTGAGTGGTCCGTTTATGAGGAGATCTCTCCCTATGCAATGTGGTACACACAGGTCTAACACATGAAACTTACAAAGATCCATGGGTAAATGCTGTCCCATTTTGAACTCTTAACTAAGATCCACTGTGTTCTCACACTTAGAAGGACTTGAAAGTCGTAAAGGCAGGGAAGCTGTGTCCCTCTATCCAGGTGACAGGAGCCATCTCCTCTGTTGCAGGACTGACAGCTCCTTCAGCTTCATGGCATTCTTCTTCACCTTCATGGCCCAGCTGGTCATCAGCATCATCCAGGCTGTGGGCATCCCAGGCTGGGGTGTCTGGTAAGAGACAAGGGTGTCTGGGATTGACCCAGGGCTAGCTGGGTGGCAACTGGGGTGTGTCCTTTGCTTACTTCTGTGGGCTAAGCTGCCTGGCCTGTGGGAACACCATGAGTTATTGGAAGTGTGAAGGGATTCAGGATAACTTAGTAGTATAGCATAGCATCAGAGGAGAATAAGGCCATGGTTTTTAGGGGTGATGAGGGATATCAAGCATCATGAGATAACCCAAGAGAAGGAAGCCTTATGTTCTGAGAAGCTTGTTTCCCAAGCCAAGGGTTCTTCCTAAACCACTGACACAGGCCCTGTCCATCCATTGATATGGTCTCTCTCTGTGACAATGAGATGGTCCCTTACTCTAGTGGGGTGGCTCCTGGGGACCCGTCACTGTGCCAGGCAGCCCCACAGCTGGCCTGTTTCTGCAGCGGCTGGATCGCCACCATTTCCTTCTTCGGAACGAACATTGGCTCAGCAGTGGTGATGCTCATTCCCACCATCATGTTCACGGTCATGGCTGTCTTTTCCTTCATTGCCCTCAGCATGGTATGTGGTCACCTCAAGAGCTACAGGGTGGTGTTGGGAGGGACCGTGATCTGTAACAACCCTTCTCCCAAGTTACAGAAAGACCCAGTGGTCTTCCAAGGGACTCACTCTGGAATGGCTTGATGGACTTTGCTCCCAGCGCGCAGGGCACGGGTCGGAGGGAGGACTGGCTTTTTCGGTGACTTACCTCTGGCTCCCATGTCTTTTCTGGATGGGCTGCCTCTTCCCCTTGATTAACCCTTCCTTGTGCTCCTCCTCCTACAGGTCCATAAATTCTACCGGGGCAGCGGGGGTAGTTTCAGCAAAGCTCAGGAGGAGTGGACCACGGGAGCATGGAAGAACCCTCACGTGCAGCAGGCGGCCCAGAATGCAGCCATGGGGGCAGCACAGGGTGCCATGAATCAGCCGCAGACTCAATATTCTGCCACTCCCAACTACACATACTCCAATGAGATGTGAACCAGTCAAGCCGACCGGGAGCTGGCTGGGGGCCGGTGGGATGGGGGCTCAAACCACAGGGTCTGTTGTGGTGACCAAGCAGGGTTCCCCCTTCCCTTTTTCTCCTCCCCCACTTTGTACAAAGAATCAGAGTTATATATATATATATGTATATGTACCACCCCTCCCCCACACCCTCTGGACTCTGTTCTCAGCACCCTGAGAGCTGGGGGCTGCACTCGGAGCTGTCCCGTGCGGCGGTAGTTGTGTCTGTGTCCCCTTGTGAATAGTGTGCAGTGGAGGTCTCTTGTTGTGGTGCTAGATGTACGTTTAGAACTAAACCAGCCCCCCACCCTCCATCAGGCTGCTCCATTTGACCTCGGCCCTGAGACCCCTCATGGGGCAAGGGGAGGCATAGCAGAGAGCCTGACCCCCTCCCAAGGTTATGAGCTGAAACTGTTTCCAGTTTTGGTCTTCCTGGGAAGCAGCAGTATTTAGCACTCGTGGGGATGTTGGTGGGGAGGGTGGAGACCTGCAGGGGATCTCCCCTTGCTCCTTTGGCTCTGGGTCTCTGCCCTCCCCTCCTACCTCCCACAACCTCCTCCTCCATTTCTCTCTTCCTGCTTCCTGTGGTCTCTTCGTCTGCCCAGGGCTCCTCTCTTCCTCATGTGGCATTTCTTCATCTTCCTCCAGGCTGAGGGTCCTACTTGTATCTGCTCTTGAGACTGAAGCCCATTCTCAGATCCAGGAAGCAGACAGAGGACAGGGGAGCTGAGCCCTGAGCCCTGAGCCCTGATGTGGGAGGGCACCTGACCCGCAGGGGATGGACATGCAAGGCAGGGTCCTCTCTTCCCTGCCTTGCCTTCTCCTCCTCTACTTCCCAGAGCCCCCTCGAGCCCCTCTGCCTGTGTCCCTCCCCACACTCGCAGCTGCTGTGGCCTGATTCTCCTGCCCTACCCTGCCCTACCCCTACTATGTGCTAGGTGATGTCTGCCATCCACAGGGGCAGTTTGCACTGCCTTCCCTGAAGAGCTGGGTGGTGTCTGGGCAGTTTTCAGGTGTAAAGGTGCAGCTGTGTGCTTTCTAAGTCATTTCAGTCATGTCCGACTCTTTGTGACCTCTTGCGACCAGGCTCCTCTGTCCATGGGATTCTCCAGGCAAGAATACTGGAGTAGGTAACCATTTCCTACTCCAGGGGATCTTCCTGACTCAGGTTTCCTGCATTGGCAGGCAGGTTCTTTACCACTAGCGCCACCTGGGAAGCCCAGAGGTGCAGCTGGAACAAAGGATCTGTGAATAATTACTGGTCTCTGAGTGATGTCTGGTTGGCCCAAGCCCACTGGGCAGGTGCTGGGTGTCTCTGAATGACCACTGGATTCCTGGGAGCAATAGCTGTTCTGTTTGGGTTTGAAGGGATAGGCTCAGAGGACTGGTCCTGGAGGGGTGAGTCTTCTCCTCAGAGGAGAAGGTAGGCAGGACCAACTGAGAGGGGATCATGCATCCCCCTGCCCCCACCCCCCCAGCTTGCTCTTGGGCATAGGGCAATTCTGGGCACTTGAACTCAAGGCCTAGGAAGAAGCACAGGCCCAACCCTGTGTGCAAGCACAATAGCTGGAATGTGATTTCAGGTTAGGTGGGGTGGGAGGGGAGGTTCTCTGGCTCCTGTTTTTTATCACATCGAGATTACTTGCTCCCCTCTGTTTATTGGACTTGATTCTTAGCCCTTCCTCACCCCCATTAGAACCCCCTTTTCTTTCCAGGACAGTGATAGAGGACTGTGGGCCTGTTGTGTCCCAGGCATTGTGAGAATGTTGTTGGTAGAGGTCCTGGCTCTCTTGGAGGCCTGAAGAGGAGTGGGTTCTTACCCATGGAGCAGCTGCCCATTTCTCACTCATCGCCCCTACCTCCCACCTGGGTGATTTGGCTTGAAAAACCAAACTCCACCTGGCCACTCTGGGTGGCTCCAACTTAGAACGCAGCATCTGGATTTCCAAGAACCATCTGAGCTTTGAGATCCAGGTACTTCATTTTCCTACAAGGGGAACCAGGGCCTCTGGGAAGTTATCTTCCTAATGGCCCCTTAGGCTTGGGCCAGAGTGTGATTGACTCTCTCCTCTACCACTTTCTCTTTGGAAAGAAGTTGTCACAGCCCCTAGTACCCAAAAAGAGACCCTAGGTCTAGGTTCTTCCTTTTCTCTCTCCCCGCCCAGACCTCTGGCTTTCTTTCTCTTCCTCTCTTCGGTAACTCCAGGAGGCCTGTGGTCTAGCTGCCAGCACAGCATCCTTGACCTGTTGGATGCTCCCTCCCATCAGCTTCCTGTCCTACCCGACTTTGCTCTTTCCTGGCTCAGACCTGTATGGCCATGCCCTGGCTCTGCCCTTTGGAAGACCTGCTATACCTGCGTGTGGCCCAGCTTGTCGAGGCCCTGGGATGCTGCATCTCCAGGCATCTATGCACTTTCCTGGGGAGGGAACCGAACGAGAAGTGGGGGCTGGGCACAGGTTCATCTCTGCTGGATGGTCTGGCTTGAGGGTGGGGTGCAGGAAGGCTGAGGTCAGTTCTAAGGTCAGGTCTTTGGCCAGTGACCTGCTTTGCATTCTGCTGGTGCCCACTGCCCCTCCTTGTTTCTGGGAAACACAGACCATTCTCCAACTGGCAGTTGACCTGCCTGAGCCAATGTGTCTGTCTGTGGTAACTGAGTGAAACATAATAAAGGGGAACATTTGACCCTCTGTGTCCTGCTGTGTCATGTGTCTTCATGAGGGCCTGTGTGGAGCCTCACCATGGGCTGTGGGGCATGGAAGTAGGGTGGGTCCAATGGGCCTGTCGCCTGTCATTCCCAGAGGTCAAAAGTCACACACTTCTGTGTGGTTCTTTCTCTGAGGCAGCCTTGAAATTGCTACAGAGTCCTTCTGCCTGTTAGGAGAAGTTCTGAGTTTCCTGAGGAAGAGCCGGATTCACATGCTGCAGCTAAAGATCCCCCGTGCTGCAACTAAAAGACTTCGCATGCAGCAGCTAAGACCTGGCACAGTAAAAAAAAAATTTAATTAAATTAAAACAAAAAACATAGAAGATAGGCTCAGTAAAAGTATTATTAAGTACTGCAGTGATAAGCAGTGTGGGTGGGGCTGGGGGGATGAGGAGGTCAGACAACTGGCAGGCCCAGATGAACACAGGAAATACCAGGAACTTGGGAACCGGTGCTCTCGGTGGGATTCCCCGAGTGGACTACAGCTCTCGGAAGGCTGAGAAGTTGACTACAACTCCCAGAAGGCTACGCGGTCGCGGAGGCAGCCTCCGGCAGCCGTAAAGTTGCGTGCCAGTCGGAATCAGCGGGAGGGGCGACCGAGATAACGCGATATTTGGGGGCTGCCCAGAGACGCCCCTGGCGCGGGTGAGGAGGCTGGGGGAACCGAGGAGGCAGGTTCCCCGTGGTGGGACAAGAGGGAGGCTGGGGAAGCGTCGCTGGCGACTTTGACTTCTTTGTGTGACCTCACTTTCTGTGTATGTGGCTGCGTGTGTCCATGAGTGTCCTCCCTCTCGTATTTGTGCCCAAGAAACTTTGTTAGCATCTGCGGGTCTGCAGGGGTGTGTGTGTGTGTGTAGCATTGTGTGTGTAGGGGCTGTGGAGGCGGGTCTGCAGGTGTGTGTGTGTGTAGCATTGTGTGTGTAGGGGCTGTGGAGTCTATGGGTCCGGAGCGCTATGGACCTGTTCCCAGCTCCATCCTGAAGTAGGGCATTTATTTTTTAAAATTAATTTATTTTTAATTGTAGGATAATTTCTTTCCGATATTGTGTTTTCTGCCAAACAGCAGCATGAATCAGCCATAGGTATACTATGAAGTGGTGCATTTCTGTACGTGCCCTCCCATCCCTGCTTTATGCTCTTCTGCAGTTGCCTAGGGCCCTTTAATCTAGTTTAAAAGGTAGCCCTATCGGTTACCCACGTTTAACCTCTTGCCTGAAAGAAACAAAAACCAAAATCCGCGAGCCTACTTTCAAAAAGGAAAGGGGATGGCTCAAAGTACAAACCATTTTACAAGTTGATAAAATAGAAAAAGGAAAGCCCTGGGATATTGCAGTTATCCCCTGGCTCCACCTAAAAGTGCTGAATGACATTAAAAAGTGAGAGTGAGGCCAAATTTTGTCAGAGAAAAACCTCAGTGCTGCACTTTGAAGTATTGGAGCCAGTGCCAGGTAATAGGCAGGAGAGATTCCCAAGTTGGGGAAGTGATGGGTACCTTGGAGCAGAAGTTGTCTTCATCTCTCCTAGTGGCTGAGAGGTAGCAGTTCTGAGTCACTCCCTTGTTAGTAGCCCCCACGTGTGAATGTAATATTAATGTGTGAGTGCTAAGCCACTTCAGTCCTGTTGGACTCTGTATGACCCTATGGACCAGGCTTCTCTGTCCATGGGATTCTCCAGGCAAGAATACTGGAGTGGGTTGCCATGCCCTCCTCCAGATCTTCCCCACCCAGGGACTGAACCTGCATCTCTCACATCTCCTGCATTGGCAGGTGGGTTCTTTACCACTAGTACCACTTGGGAAGCCTGAATGTAATGTGTCCCCAACTTGTGGCCTTGAGGAACAGTGCTTAACGGGATTCCAGGAGCTGCAGAGTCAAGCCTCCCTGCTTTTGGTTTGAGAGAAGAGCAGTCTTAGCAGAATGTCAAGACCTTGAGTTCTCCCTGAAGACTTCCTTGCCTTTCCTTGAAGGAAGGGATTTAAAGTGTTCCTGTGGCTACGCCACTCCTTTTAATGACTAGGTTTGGGGGAAGACTGCCACTACCGGGAGCTGCTGGTGTTTCATTATTACTGGGACAGAGTTTTATTGACTGGTGGGAGATAAGGGCAGAGCAGAATCTTGGGGCTGCGGGTGAGGAACTTTGACTTTAGGCCAAAGGGTCCTGGATTCCTTGCCCACCCACCCAAATTCGGTTCTTTTTTCTGAGCCCCAGCTCCTGTTTGTGGCTGGGCTGGCCTGAAACCCCAATCTGGACTTTTTTTAAAATCCCTGGTTCTGCCCTGGCTCCTCACTTGCCCATATTGTGATTGGCAAGCGTTCTGGAAACTTTTACTTAACTCTGCCCTAATTAAACTCATCAGAAAAGGAGACTTATATATCACAAGGCTGCCACAAGTTGAAGCTCTTTGCTCTGTCTGGCCTTGTCTTTCTCAAAGGACAGAGAAGCTTGTCATTTTTCTGGCTGTGGCTGCATGCGTGTGGCTGCCTGCATGGCTGGCACCCTGGGATTTTGAGGCTCAGTAATCACAGCTTTCAGCCCTTTGGCCTCTCTGCTTACCAGCTCTCTCTGCTGCTCAGGAGTTCCTGTGAGTCCAGCAGAGCTCAGGAGGATGAGGTGCTGTCTACAGCTACCTTTGAGAGTAAACATAAGGAACTCCTGCCAACTGTTGCCCTCCATGGGGCTCGCAGTTTGAGCTGATTTGACCTTGGTTTCAGATGTTGGTTAAATTATCTACTCTCTATTCCTCAAGTACATATCGCCCCTCCCCCTTCTTTTCTAGAAAGATATTTAGGGTTTGGTCCTTAACAAAGATTGCTCAGCAGGCTAAGCATTAATAGGAAATCTTGGGCTATACCACCTGCTGTGGAGAAGCAGTTGAAGTCACCAGCATGAATTCCTGCCCCAAGTTTAACTGATTGCTTTCAGTAACCTGTTCCTTAGGAATGATATCAATTTGATGTGGTGGTGGTGGTGGTGGTGGTGGTTTAGTTGCTAAGTCTTGTCTGACTCTTGCAATCCCATGGACTGTAGCCTGCCAAGCTCCTCTGTCCATGAGATTTTGTCCATTTTCCTTCTCAAGGTGGTCTTCCTGACCCAGGGATCGAACTTGCATCTCCTGCATTGCAGACAGTCTTCGGGCTTACAGGCAGATCCTTTACTGTTGAGCCACCAGGAGGAGATTTTAAATTAAGTTTCTGATTTTGCAGGAATCTCTCATGTCCTAGCCCTAGTTGGGTGCTAGGGTCAAGGGTCAAGGTTTGGGATTTGGTAGGTGGGTGTTCCTGGAGAGTTGAGAATGTGCCTCCTCCTGGATGCTGATCAGCACATGGATTCATTCTGGGAAGAAGCTGGCTCATAGGCCCTCTAGCCTTGTCAGGTGCCAACATGGCTCTCCAGGCCTTAGAGAAGACTCAGTTCTGTTGTGGGCAAACATGGCCCTGGCTGAGGTCCTGATGTAGGGCAGAGATTGAGATTGCTGGCAAATGGAACTCTGGGGGGATGTTTTGTCTAGGAAAGTGGCCTGTGCTTAACCTCTGTTGAGAAGGGTCTGGGCCCCTGGGAGACCCTTCTGGATAAGAGTAGTATAATCGACCCAAACATGATCCTCAACTCATGAATATGTGTCTTGAGTCTTAAAGGTAAAAAATGGGCAAGGGGGCCCTGAGGAGCCAAGGGGCCTGTGGAGTAAAGAGGGAGCCCTTATGGGTTGCAGCCAGATGAGTACCCATTGAGTGACTCACTGGACTTCTTCCTCGGGGTCTGCCTTGGTGTCCCTTCCCCTTATTGCTTCTACCCTTTTTGAGAACATCTCCCGGGATACCCTTGTACAGAGAGTCACTTACCTCTTGTCTTTCATACATTGACTCAGAAGGTTGCTGATGGGAGGAGCTTCAGAGATCACCTGGCCTTGTCTTTGTGTTATTCAGTGAAGAGACATGTGCAGGGAGGGAATGACCCTGAGCCAAGGTCACACAGTGGGTCAAGAGCACATGGATAGGGCCCAGGTCTCCTGATTCACAGGCCAGGTGTCTGTTCTCTGCCCAGCTCTGCTTCAGAGGGTGCAGGTGATTATCCATTCAGCAGATGTTCAGGACCTACCGCAGGCCTGATACCTGCCTAGTGGTTGGTGTTTAAACCCGGTCAGACATTCAGGGAGCTTACTGGTGGTGGTGTTGTGGGAAAGTGGAGACAGAAAGGCAGGGAAACTGATGTGTCCAGATAGAATCAATGATCACCGAAAAGGTCCATCCCACAGAAGGACCCATCTCAAATGATTTCAGGTATGACTTCTGTCTTCTCAGCCCATGCACAGATTCCCTGAAGACAGCAACTGTGTCTTCCATAATTCTTTTGCCTGGTGTGATCACCCTTGGTGGTTGTTGCTGATGGAATGAGTATGTTTTGCTGGTGCAGCCTGCCAGAGTGTAGGTTTCGATGCATCCGTCAGCCATATTATCGTAAACAGTCACTTCTAGCAACATCTGGGGACCAGAGGAAGAAACCAAGCAGCTGGTCTCATGGGGTGGCCTTTATCCCTTTTATGCTTGTCTCTTCTTGGCTGTGGGATTGTAGGGTGGTGCCTAATCCACAGGGAAAGGGACAGAGAGGCAAATCCCTCCCTGGAGCACCCAAACCCCTTTGTGGCCTAGGGGTCCACCCCATAGGCACCCCTGGAACCTGCCATGCCAGTTCTCAGTCAGCCCAGCCCACAACAGTGGCTCCTTCTTCGTCTGCCCCCTTTAGTCTCTTCACCACCAAGGTACCCTCCAGACTTCTTACTAGCACAGGCACTGTCTTTCTACAATGAAAACCCACCCTGACCCTCACTGCCCTTGACATTTAGTCCTTGACCTGATTTTGCAGCCTGACCTCCTGCCCACCCCACTGCCCCGTCATCACACTTTCACCTCACTGCTAAGCTACTCTTTGTTCCCCACACCTGCCACCTTCCTTTAGGCCTCTTCACTTATGCAAGATTGCTCTTCTTGTGAAGTTATTTTCTTCTGTCTCTGAAAAACTTCCTTGTACTGCAGGACTCAACCTGAATGTTACTTTTTTTTTTTTTGGTTTCTGACTACTTCCTCAGGCAGTAACTCATAGGCTGCGCAGCCTCATGGCACTGGCCATATTACAGTGTGACTGACTGATGCGGGGTAAGGGTGTCTGACCTCATCACACTGCTCCCAGAAGCTGGGATTATTGACCCCTGGGGAACCCCAGCATCTGGCCTGGCATCTAACACAGGGTGCTCAATACATTTTGGTTGAATGTATGAATGAAGCAGGTCCCCCTTGTTTTGCTTTTAGATCCTAAATCCTGACAGAGCTTTATGGAGCCCAGTTCTGGCAGGCTTCCAGGACTCGAAGCCACCAGACCCCACATGGAATCAAGGGCTGCGTGTTCAGCTGCTGCACCCTTGAGAAGACCGTTCCATGTTCTCTTGGGAGTCACTGGGAGTGTTGCAGCCCTGAAGTTGCCTGTTCTGGTATCAAAGCTTTTGGACATTCCTGATGTGAGTATCCTTCCTAGACAGCCTCTGACATGCCTCTGGTGCGCTGGGGCCAGCCCATTTTTTGTGCAGTACACGGGGTTTTCTTTTTCTTAATCGTGGTGTTTGTGGAAGTCCTCTGTGTGCATTGATAAGGGGGGATGCAGCAGACAGAGATGAGTGGGACAGTATAGCCAGGAACTAGCTTAGATAGACACAGTGAGTGGAGACTGGGAAAGGAACACTGGTGCATGGAGGATTTGGCTTCCCAAACACTGACCTTGGGTTCCCTGAGGTCCTAGTGTGGAAAAGGGCTGGCTGAAGAAGTGTGGCAAGTTCTCAGCGCCCCCTGGTGGCCATGGGCTCCCTGCCTCTGCTTTCACTCCATCCTGGACATTTCTTCTCTGTGCTCCCTCCTTGTTGGACCCCATGGCTGTCCTGTCAGTCCAAATGCACTGGAAGCTTAGCGACTCCCTGTGGTCTGCCGCTGTGGTTTCAAACTCTGCTCCTTCGGGTGCTCGGAGATGCCTGGAGGCTTCCACAGTGTGCCAGGGGTCGGGGGCTTAGCCCCTTGCCTTTGGTCGGATTACCTCAGCATTGATCAGTTTTATGGGTGGGGTTCCAGGGCAGATCCTTTTGTGGGAAAAGTTGAAGGCTTTAAAAAATGTGAAAACCATCAAGTGATAACCCCACTTCTTCATTATCCTAGGCCCTTGGTTGGTTTGTCACCCTCCAGCAGCCCCTGATGGCCTTTGCTTTGGGCCAGCCCCTTCCAGGCTGTGCCGCCCTCCCTGCTCTTCCTCGCCCTTTCAGTTTCCTCACTAACACTTCACGTAAAAGCCTTCCTGGCCTGCCTCAGCCCATGCGGTTTTGTTCATTTGATGTGTTAAAGAAAAACCAGAAGTGGAAAAAGAGATTTTACTCAGGAAAACTATTGTGATAAGGGAAACTAGACCTCAGTATAGAATTGGGTTTAATTATGAATACAGCAAGGAAAAGTGAAGCTTTGTAGCCAAGGAGTGGTGTGTGTGTGTGTATGTAAAATTAAGAAACATCAGGCTAAGGGAGATTTTAGCATACTGTCCTGGCTGATTCTCTCTGAAGGCAGCCCAGGTTATCAGACATCGTCTAGGGAGCGTTGAGGGATAAGGAGCCTGGTAAGATATCCAGACTGATCACATAGCGAGGGTGTGAGATTCTGGCTAGTAAACCAATGCAGCAGCAGGAATCATGCTCAGGAGGATGAAGCCTGGGGATAGGCCTAGTTGCAAAGTGGCTCAAAAGAGCCTGACTAATGAGGTGGCCAAACTCCAATACTTTGGCCACCTCATGCGAAGAGTTGACTCATTGGAAAAGACCCTGATGTTGGGAGGGATTGGGGGTAGGAGGAGAAGGGGACGACAGAGGATGAGATGGTTGGATGGCATCACCGACTCAATGGGCATGAGTTTGAGTAAACTCCGGGAGTTTGTGATGGACAGGGAGGCCGGGCGTGCTGCGATTCATGGGGTCGCAAAGAGCCAGACACAACTGAGTGACTGAACTGAACTGAACTGAACTGTTTGGTTAAGAAGAGAATCTTGACCAAGTTGGGGAACCACACATGACCTTTGACACCGTTTGTGACGCTTTTTTTGTGGGGTGTTAAACTGCTAGGGCGCAGGATGTGCTTTTTCCGCGCTTAAGTCTGCACAGCACCTTAGTCAGGGTGACACAGGTGGGTGTACCCGAAGTGTCCAGCAGGGGGCAGTGCTCACTTGCAGATGACCATGTCGTGACTCACAGGCAGGGGCGGGAAATCTTTTTTTTTTTTTTTTAAGTTTCCACAAACTTATACTCAGAAAGTCACCCCCTTACCTCACCCTCCAGGCAGCCAGGGATGCCAGTCAGGCCAGAAGAGGGGAGGGTGTTGTGGCTGCTCAGAGGCTGGGCAGTGGTGCTGGTGGGGCAGGAACCCCTTTGGCCTGCCCCCTTCTCGTGTGCCCAGAGCCCAGCTGGCCAGCCAGAGCCTTGAGGGCGGGAGGCAGCCTCTGCCGCTGCCCTCTGGGGAGGGAGGGAGCCATGAGTTCCCTTTTCCCATAGCCCCAGAGCAAGTGAATTTCCGGCCTGGGGCCGGGTGGGGGCAGGGAGTCCTATCCCAGGAAACAGATGGGCAGCCTCAGAGCAGAGGGAAATGGCAGCTCTACCGCTTCCTGCCATCCCACACGGCCAGCATTTATCCGGGTGTGAGGAGAGGGTTGCCTGGAGTAGGGAGGCTCTCCAGCCGGCCCCCGGCCTTTTAGTTTAGCCTCTGTTGCCGACAGGCTACGTCTGGAACGGGACTTGGCTCCCGTCTCCGATTGGAGTTGAAGCTGAACAACTCCCGAAGGTTGGAGTTGAAGCTGAACAACCCCAGAAGGGCAGTGACCTAGCAGGGAGGACTCCTGGAGTTAGCCTCTGGGAGCCTGCCTTTGTCATTTTAACATAAAGGTGAGGACTCTCACCCATCCCCTCAGGCTGCTGTCAAGGCTGGGGGAGAGGGGCAGAGCTGAAACAACTTGTCATCTTGTGCCAACGATTAGGCACAGTTCCTGGCACATGGAAGCACTTAACGGTGTTTGTTTCCTGTCCTTCACCCTCTCCTCTTCCCTCGCTGGTGTGTCCTTTAGGGCAGCCACTTGTGGTGTAGGGTGTTGGGGTTGCTGAGGCAGCCCATGTGAGAGGAGCCGGGAAGCCCTCGTCCATCTGCTGATGTGGGGGGGCCCGTGGCCCTCCCTTCGTGTGGGTGGACATCTCCTAGAGTGGCCCAGTGGGTAACCCACGGGGGATCCCTGCTTGCCTTGTGTTGGCCCCAGGGCTGTGGCCTTTCTTCCCTTCCCCCAGCTCTGTCCCCCACTCCCTGATGGAATTGATCTCACCAGTGCCTGCCTTCTGAGTCACCCCCAGGAGTAGTCTTTGTGCCTTGGAGCAGTCCTCCTCAACTCTTTGCCTAAGTCATGTGTTCACATGCTTTCCTGAGCTCCCTGGGGATCCCTAGGTTTTGACCAGCCAACAGCTAGCAAAAGCAGCTGGGCTGTGGGCGGCAAGGAGCTGGGTGATTCTACAGACCTGGCTCACAACTGCTGCTTCATCAGTGTGTCCAGACTTCCCAGGAGGACCGCAGACCTGGAGGCAGACCAGGGAGACTGAGGGAGTGATGGGGAGGAGGGGATTTGGATTGTTGCCTCACACACCAGCCCTCATCCAAAGTGGCCACCTGCAGTGAAGCCTTGGAGCCTGTGTGAGAGATGGGAGGAGTTGGACAGCGGGAGCCAGCCCTCCCTCGAGAGAGGCTGTCCTGCGTAGAGGATTTCTCATGCTGGGACTCTGGGCAGGTCAGGTCTTTTTTATGGCCTTGGTTTTCTTATCCCTGCAGTAAAGTGGGGGCTGGATACTCAACTGATACATCTCTAAGGCCTCTCCTGGCGTCAGGGCTAGGAGATTGTAGATGTGAAGGCAGAAAGGCCTAGGACCCAAAGGCAGCCTGAGAGAAGATCCTGGGATGTAGGGGGCTGTGGCTGTTTTGCATTCTGTAATTGTCCTGTAATTGAGCAGTCAGCTCAGTCAGTTTGTGCCCTTTCGTTGGCACCCTCCTCACTATGGAGAAGACAGACACCTCTCTCTGCTTTTGCTGGGCAGGTGTCAGCAGGGCTGAAAGCCAGAAGAGGATTTCTGAAAGTGGAGAAAATCTCCCACCCAGGAAGTTGGCAGACCTTGGGCTTAGAGAACGCTGTTTCCAGAATGCCTGTCAGGACATTCAGGACTGTTAAGAAGTGAGGGCAGAGGGTCTGCATATGTGCAGAATGAAATCTTTTCTGCTTTTCTGGAGGACTGTTTTGGCAATATCTGGAGAAACCAAAAATGGTCCCAGGCATTGATTCACCCATAGGATTGAACCCTGTAGGGGTACGGAAACTCACTAAATGTACAAGCATGTTCATTTTAGCACCATTTGTAATTTTAAAACAAAACGGAAACAAACCAAATATCCAGCAGTAGAACTGTGGGCCAGCTATGGTTCAACCTCTTGATGGAATCCAAGGCAGCCGTTCAGGAGGCTGGGTGGATCTCATGTGCAGCTGTGGGGCAGTCTTCAGGATGCGGGTGAAACGAGCAAGGTGCTGAGGTTAGCAAAGTGTGGCCCACTGGCCGCAGTCTTGTGTGGTCTGTTTTTGTATGGCCTGTGAACCATACAAATATAAACTATTTACCTTTTTAAATGGTTGGAAAAAATCAAAAGAAAAATATTTTGTGACATATAAAATTATATAAAATTTGATTGTAGTGTCCATAACATTTTATTGGGACACATCCATACTCATTCATTTAAGTATTGCCTGTGGCCATCACTTCATGGCAAAAAGAAGGGGAAAAAATGGAAGCAGTGACAGATTTTATTTTCCTGGGCTCCAATATCACTGCAGATGGTGACTGCAGCCATGAAATTAAGACACTTGTTCACTCTGACAAACCTAGACAGCATATTAAAAAGCAGAGACATCATTTTGCCGACAAACGTCCATATAGTCAGAGCTATGGTTTTCCAGTAGTCATGTATGGATTTGAGAGTTGGACCATGAAGGCTTGATGCTTTCAAATTGTGATGCTGGAGGAGACTCTTGAGAGTCCCTTGGACTGCAAGGAGATCAAACCAGTCAATTCTAAAGGAAATCAGTGCTGCATATTCATTGGGAAGACTGATGCTGAAGCCGAAGCTTTGATACTTTGGCTACCTGATATGAAGAGTCTACTCATTTGCAAAAGACCCTGATGCTGGGAAAGATTGAAGGCTAAAGGAGAAGGGGGCAGCAGACGATGAGGTGGTTACATAGCATCACCGATTCAATGGACATGAATTTGAGCAAACCCTGGGAGATGGTGGAGTACAGAGGAGCCTGGTGTGCTACAGTCTATGGGGTCACAAAGAGTCAGACACAACTTAGACCAACGCCAACAACTAAATGCTGTAGTCTTGCTACTACAGAGCAGAGTAGTTGGGACAAAGC